ACTGTCCCAACATACCCAGGTTTTGACCCCCTCTAAGGATCTCATTGATTGACATATCAAAGACAACCCAATCCGACACCTAGTGTAGTATCATAATCGAGTCTAGGGGTCAGGTGTAACATTCCAGTTTTCCCCATCTATCTCCAAGGTCCAGGGCAATACTGGAATTCTGGTCTGGTTTAGGGTTTCAAAAAAAGTCACACTGCATGTACCTCAGGTCTCACCCTGGCACCTGAGACAAGCCACCCCAACCAACTTGGCGGCACATCAATGTCAGCCTTGGCAGGATAAATCTCCCCAGATCTATCCAACGGCTGTGAAGATTCTAAACTAACACGAGTCTCATTAAGTGTCCAGTTTAAGGGTATTACACAGAAACACACCACAATGACATGAATCAATTAAGTACTTTATTCATTTACAATAAATGTCAAAAGGTACATCAATCTGATTGGAGCTAAAGGGCATAGCTGTCTAATAGTATTACAACTGTGCCCAAAAAAGTTGATCTCTCTCCCCACTCCTTGAAGTTCAGCTTATTCAGATGATGGAATTGGAAACTTGAAAGTTGCATTGGAAATTAACATATAAAAAGCTTTCAGGATTGGAAAATTACCGATTTCTTTAAGCAATTATGTATTGAGCCAAACATCATACTTTTTTATCTGTTATTTCTGAAGAACAGAATTATGAAACTGGTTCATGTAGCAACAATCCCAAAAAAAAAGCAGACTCATGTAACATCAATGTGTAGTGCACTCACATACATGCGTGCACTTATTATGCTTTTTATCTTTGAATTTCAATTTCATGGTCATTTTCCTTATATTTTAGATACATTATTCATCGCGTCTAATATAGTGATGATGAGTTTTTGTAGCCTTATGTCGATGAACCCTTCAATTATGGCCTTCAAGCGACGGATTTAGATAGTCTTTTCAACATGACGGTGGAAGCGGACAAATCAGGACTTCAGGTGTTCTTATACCATGAATTTTATATTTAACCTTTGAAATATGAATTCATTGATCAAATAACTATTAGCTTGAATTATCTCAGGTTGCTATTCATGCCATAGGTGATAGAGCAAATGACTTGATACTGGGTTTATATGATTCTGTAGCATCTGCAAATGGGAATAGAGACCGAAGATTCAGGGTATGTTCATTTGTTAAATTTGATAAGTCTACTTATAAGAAGTTATCTGGTAGTCTGAAATTTATGCTGGTGGTTTTCGACAACTAGTTCACTTTTCTGTTTTATAACTGTAACTGGATCTGTAATTTCTGATCATCACTTTTCTGCGACAATACCTGGATAAATATGGATGACTAGAAAACCAGTATTTATGGGATAAAATACAGATAGATGAATTGGATACGGTCTAATTAATCCATGGAATCAATTTATCTTCACTTTTATATGAAAATGGAGGCATTTAAGTTGTGAAGCATATGCTTCAACCTATCTATCACTTCACTTCATTCTATTTAGAAAGATAAACCAAAAACTATAATAATAAAAATTAGGGAAATTTGATAATTCACACACAGATAATTATAGGTTTTTGAATATAAAAGACTTTCACAAAAGAAAAAAAAAGAAAATGAGGGAAAGCTATGTTTTTTGGAAATGGATATCTCATTCATATCCTTACTCTTCTCCTGACTTTTTAAAATGATGTATCATATCCCTGTTTCATGTGTCTGTTTCTATGTCTATATCCATATCTGGGCATGATAGCTTTCCAGTTTTCCCATATGAATTCCTTCTTCCTTTAAAAGGAAATTTTTAGAAATGATTTACCAGTTTAAAGCCCTAATGCTTCAAATTTAGTTTTCCGAAACAGCCCTAAATGTAATATCTAATTTGCTACTAGTTTTGGTTGGTAATGGACATTGTTTCACATATTAAAGAGTATTTTAAAGTCTTTCATTGCTAATAAGCACAATAACTTTTCAGATTGAACATGCTCAGCATTTGGCTCCTGGAGCAGCAGATCGGTTTGGTCGACAAAGTGTCATTGCTTCGGTGCAGGTTCAAGTTCTTATCTTCTGTAACACAACAATTATTTGTTCCAGTTGAAAAACAGTCCTAGAAGTATGGGACTGTGCTAGAAAACCAGAAAAACTAACAAGAGAAGATTAGAGAAAAAGAGAGAGAGAGCTGCGGCAAGGAGAATTAGAGGATGAGGAGTTCGAACTTAACCTCCCTCTAACACTCTAATACTCTTTTATTAAGTTAATCTTTTAGTAATTACAAGAGAGGTCCTTAGTTGGACAAGAAATTACAAAAAAGGAACATAGTAGAGTATGGGCCCAGAATAAGGCCCATTACAGAGAAGAACATAAAGATAATATACAGTAACAGCCTATGGGCCATTTGGCCCATCTTCTCTACAGTTCCATATGTTCCTCATTTGAGCTTCTCCCCTCTCTGTTGATATCTTAATGTTTTTCCCTTTTCTTTTTTATTTTTAATCTCTTTTTGTTTGAGGGGTCATTTCTTAGTGTGTGGTAAAATCTTGGGCTTATTTTTTGGTAAATATAGGAGGAGCTACACAAGACGTTCCAAACTATTTGGGTTCTTGGGAGTGGTAGTGTGGTACACAGGATATGGACCTAACCTCAGGCATTTTTTTCAGTGGCCACTCACAGACTCAAACCCATATTCTCACATGTTTAAGCCCAAGAATTTTTTCTGAAAGAATGCTTAAAGCTAAAATCTTGGGCTTAAACATGTGAGAATATGGATTTGAGTCTGAGAGTGACCACTATGTAATGCCTAAGGTTAGGTCCATATCCTGTGTACCACTCCCAAGAACCCAAATAGTTTGGACCATCATTTGGCAATGATCCTTGTGTAAGTGTTGGTCCTGTGGGATCCAAGTATTGGTTCAGTTTTTCCCAACTGTTATGAGCTTGGTAAACCAATACTGCTCTCATGGGTCACATCTGTCATGGAGTTCCTAAAACACAGACAAAACTAAACACCACGTAACTCTGGGCATTTTAACAGAAGTCCCTTTTTTTTGTTGGGAACAAAAGACCTGTTTATGTATTTCATTTTTGTAATTTAAAGGTGTCTGGATGTATATTTCCATGATATAATTTCTCCTAGTTGGTAACTGCTCACTGATACTTTCTTTAATGTCTGCACTTCCTCCTAATCTCGATCATTTCCCTTTCGGTTCCTGGTTGTTAGCTCTTTTAGTTTTTCTTTTCCTTGAAGTTGTTATTGCCAGCATCAAGCAATGAACTTTTTTGCAAGTTTTCTACAAAGCTGGTGAACCCCAGGTCCCCAGTGTTATGAAAACTGCACCAGTGACCAACCCAGTTTTCTTTTCGGGTGATGGGTCACTGGTTTGACCATTTGGGTTGAACGGGTCAAACAATAAAAAGCAGGAGGGAAGGAGGAAAGGAGAGCCCACTGCCCACCATCATTATGTTGCTATCTCCAATAAGTCATCCCCCTCCTCTCTCTCCTACTTCTGTTGTTCGATCAAGGCACTGATCTTAGAGGGAAATGGGGTAAAATGGACCTGTCAGTTCTAACCTGTGAGTGGTTTGAATGATTCACCGGATTAACCGTTAGTGTTTATAGGTTTTTGACCAAATCAATGGGTTTTTCATGCTTACTAGCTTTGGGGTAAAATGGACCTGTCATTGTCTCCAGGTGATGGGTCAAACTGTCAGACCATCCTAGTCAACATTGGGTGCAAGCATTACCACCTGGGTCATTGGCCTATCATTCGTCATTTACCTTGTTTACTTTTGTCTTAAGACTTTATTATTTACTTTTACACCCCTTTTATGCAGTGTTTAGGAAATTGGACCAGACTGGCCAGTTGGACTAGTTGAACTATGACCCAGGCATATATCCAGTTTGGTCCTACTCTAGAAACTGGAATTGTAGAAAACCGCCCAAACTGGCTGATTGGCCGGTTTAACTGGTAAACCGATGAACTGGTCCTGGTTTGCTAAAGCCACCCATGTCTCAAATATGTGGAATTTTCAATATGCAAATGACATGATTCGAAGAACAATTAATCCACTTCATTATATGTGTGCATTTATGAATCTATAATTTATATATTGCATTAATACACATGTATTTCAAAGAAAATGTGAGTTAGAAGGTTTGAACCCTGGTCAATTACTTTAAAAATTAAAGAACTAGCCATCTATCTACCACATTCAAGTATAACATTATTTGTACAATATATTATTTACAGTACTTATGTGACTCATTGTATATATATGTATATGCCACATCATCACGGTTTGACTGTGGTTGAACCTCTAACCCGTAAACCTCTCCCCTTTCCAGTTCTATGTCCAGTTCGATTTTCATAACATTGCTTTTATGTGCTACTATATTATGTTTGGCTTACTTTGTAGCTGCATTTCACTCAAGGGTGATTTAAATCTCTTATTGACATGAATGCATGCAACTTTTGTCTCTCCAACAGCCAGATCACCTACTATATGATGTTGATTCTGGAGAAAAGAAACTTGGGAAGATCCGGGCTCAAACAGAATCATATCTGTTTCGCTCACTCTTAACTGGAAATGCACTATTAGCATTTGGTTCTGATTGGCCAGTGAGTATTTTCTTTGTTTTTTCATTTTTACTAGTTGAGTTGCATGTGCGAGAGGAGAGAAATATATATTATGAGTGAAGTGGGGAGAGAGGATGGAAGAGGACTAAAATTTGGGGATGTCATATTGGCATGGTGATATAGGCAAGTTGTTGGAAGATTTCGGTAATTATGTATTATATTATGTGCTATTTTAGGTAGTTGAGAGATTTGTGAGCTGTACAAATATTTTTAGAAATCAGTTTTGTTTTTTCCTTTATTTAGGGAGATTTGTTACCTAGTTTGTATCCTAGAGAGAGCTATAAATTTTGATGTACAGAAGCATAAAAAATCATCCCATTCTTAATATCTT